CCCCAAAACCCCAAAACCCCAAAACCCCTTTATGATTACATAATCTCAAGTAAGAAACTCAATATTTTAATAAATTTAACTTAATTTATACAAATCTCATCTTACATATTAGCTCTGCTGAAAAATTACCTAATCAGTATTCGAGTTTCTGAACTATGGGTAATTTTATGATCCAATCAATGGAAAGGTCAGCAGTTTACCACTACCATTGTTTCCTTAGCCAATATTACTTTCATAGCTCTGTTATAATCCTGAATACTGGTTTTACTTTCTCATCATTTCCTCATAGGCAAGCTAAGTCTTATGCTTTTTTTCACCAATAAACTCTGGATCAGAATTTTCAATTAATAAATCATCTTTAACTGAAATACTTTTAACATGCTCATCATACTCTACCAAAGATAAGCCATTTTTGTTTAAAATTCCTTATTAGGCAAAGTAATGATTCTACAAATCATTCTTATTCAACATATCTGTTTATCCTTGCCATTATTACTTTTCCTCTTAGCTCATGCCTCTCCATTTCTCTCCCATCATTTTGGTGAGTTCAACTCCATTGTAGGTAGGATATTGTTTCTGCAACTCTTTTCTATAGTAAAGACAAAAAGTTAAGTATTTATTCCACTTTTTCCCTGGCTAGCAGGGGCCTTTCACATTTGGCTTAGGCTTAGTCTTGTATTTTCTGATCTTAATCTTATCAAATGGGCTTTTCGTCTAAACTTGATCTTGATAACTTCTTGTTAATGACTCAGCATCAATTTTCTTCGCCTTAAGTCCATCCTCATCATCGGAGCTAGTTTCACTAGATGTTAATGAGTTATCCTCTTCATCTTAGTTTTTAAAACTATTCATGAAATTTTATCTAAGTTGCTGTGCTTTTTAAATTTGATCTACGGAACAATTTATGACTTCCTTTTTTAAATTTTAAACTGGCTTTTCATTATTTACTTTCTGTTCAGTTATTCCAGGAAGTTTAGGTAAATTTTATTAAAGCTGTTGCTACTAGTTTGGTGCTTGATATTGCTACTATTATTGCTAAACAGATTAATTTTGATAAATTTTACTGAAAATTCATCATACTTTATTGATAGCTTTGAGCGTATTACTGTTACTGCTATTAGGACTGCTAAAGGTATTGAAACTATCTATGAAATTCTTATTCCAAGCTCTTCACCTTGTATACAAAATTATTGCACTCATTTGTTAGTCGTGAATAGCATTATTGCATCTTGAAATCATATTCTAAATGCCCATTGTCAGCGTATTAATTGTGCTTTTAAGGTCTTTCACATCGATCTAGGTGGTTTTTTAAATTTCTACTTTTATGTCTAAATTATATCATGGTTATTAAATCACAGCAAATTTATATTAATCCTTAATACTAGCATTCCAGACTAGACTAAAAACCATTTCTAATATAATACCTTAAAAATGAAGTAACTAACTTTGATTTTCTTAACTCCTAATTATAAAAATGATAAGATTAGAAAATGATATTCAAGCATCTAATTAAAATTAACTTAAGTCTCTTATTCAGTCCTAATAAATTATATGTATGATGACTACACAGAAGAAATAATTTGTTCTTAATAGATATATTAATGATCCCGAAGCAAAATGATAATGAAATATCAAATAAATAACAAGAATCATAAAAAACCTCAACCATTTTTTATCTTAATATAATTTTTATTTTATCTACTTAAATATGATTAAAAGGGGTTTTGGGGTTTTGGGGTTTTGGGG